CCGGGACCTATATATAAGAACAAAGGCTTTCACGGCCGGAATCCATAGTAGAATGAAGATTCGGGCTATAGGGCCGTGGTCTAAGTGAACTGTTGTGTCCAGACGTTTCGTCAGCTACTGCGGCTGACATCCTCAGTGGTAGTGCTGCGTTGACAACGTGAACGTAGATTAACAGCAACTGTTGAGACTTCGAGATATAATCTACGTTCACGTTGTCAACGCAGCACTACCACTGAGGATGTCAGTCGCAGTAGCTGACGAAACGTCTGGACACAACAGTTCACTTAGACCACGGCCCTATAGCCCGAATCTTCATTCTACTATTGTCAAATCAAATACACCAAAGGTAACTCAAAAAATTTTAATAAAACCTGTTTTCTAGCACGGGATTCTAATTTTGAAGAATTTTTGTAGTGCACGTACGTATGTTTAGTAGTGTTGTTTCCGGAACCAATAACTTCTTGATAAGTGAGTTGTAAGTTGGCTAACGGGGACCAACTAAATAGTCCTAAAATGGCCCGAGGGAAAAGTCGAGTACGACCTCGTCAAATCGGACACCGAAGAGGTAAATAAATAAAACACCAATAACCTCTAAAATATGTTTACATATGTAACCGAAAAAATTGGCAGTGATAATGATCGTCCATCAATAGTGGAAGGACCTTTATAGTAACTTATTCAGGTTTTTGATGAGTTCTGGGCAAGTTATATGCGTGCTAACATAGAAATTCAAATATACACTTCATTTAATCCTTTTTATTTTTGGGAAATCATTAAAATGATCCAACATTTGTGGCAAGGATTGGGGAAACCCCAACAAAACCCAATGAAGTCATTATATCTTAAATATTAAGTTCCTTAATAAAAACAAAATACCAAAAAGTTAGTTGTTGGTACAATACCCGACTTAGTCACAACCGTGCACCAACGAATTGTGTTTTCCTCTTGACCATGAAGGAAAGAAGTCGTGGAAGATGGGACTATAACTGTGATTATAGACACACCAACTGCAAACCGATGAACTATCTGCGGTAGGACATGTTAGACTACCTGCTGCCTGAACTAAGTCATTTATCACACGTCAGAGGCGTAGAGTAACAGTTTGTTTGTATGTAACTTGGAGGTAAATACATGCCACTTCGTATCTGTATATTGGGAGTCGGTGTATGTTAGCGAAGGTTATCGTATCTGTTTTTTTTTGGGTAGGTACATGTCACTAACGGTCATCGTATCTTTATATTAGGGGTCGATACATGCCACTGAAGGTCATCGTATCTGTAGTTTATTGGGTCGATACATATCTATCACTTCTGGGGTAGGGTATTATAGTGGAGCTATTTGAAATGGGGTATTATAGTAAAGCTTCCTCAAATGTAAGTGCGGTAACCGAATATAATCAAGGAAAGGTAAGAAAACTATCTCGAACGCAAGCCAGCTTACTGCACCCAATCAAACAAGAAAGGTACACAATTATCTCAAACACAAGCCAGAAAATCACTTCCACTCAAGCAGGGCTATTATTGTAAAGCTATTCACCTATCTGCGTTTTCTCACGTTCGACAGGGTCTTTCACTAAATTAATGCCATCATTAAAATCTTTATGGGCTTAGTATTCTATACGGCGTGGCGATTTTTAGAAACCAAATGTTAGTTAGTTAGAAGAGGTTCCTTATAAGAGGCGTGTGACAGGTTGGTTCAACCACGGAAATTATTACATCTCGGCACTTTCTTTCAAGTACGTATATTGAGTGTAGATGAATAAAACTAAATCATCATAAACCCCAATAAACCTTTACCTACTCAACCATGAACATTCCGATCGACTAATCCCTAGGGCGCGAGCTTTGCAGTCAAGCTGCAGACGTCAGGTACACAGCGTATCGGAATTGACGACGTTATTTTGTGGTGTCTTTGTTTTAGTCATTTGCCAACAAAAATTATTTTAAAATCAGATGATCTGATTCTGACGGCGTATTCATGGAGCCAATATTTAAAATTATTCCATTACGTTTTAGTAGCCCGCGTAACTCTCATTGAAAGAAACTTACTTCATATGTGACAACAGAATTAATAAAACTCCTTAGATATTTGAAAACTATATTTAGCATTTTACAAAATGATCCGGTTTTTACCAATATCAAGCGGAGAGTGTCCTATGTCTACGTTACTAACTATAGATATTGTGCCTATGTATACATCATATATTGTGACTATATATAAAACATATATTGGACCAATCTGGAAAACAAATATTGGCTGTATTTTTCAAATAAATATTGCACATTTATTATTTCCTAACATTGGAACAATATTTAATTTCAATATTGGGTTAATATTAAAAATCTACATTGGGCCAATAAAAAAAAATCTGACGTTTCCATCATTGAACCAATATGTAAATATAATATTTTACCAATATTGTNTATACACTTCATTTAATCCTTTTTATTTTTGGGAAATCATTAAAATGATCCAACATTTGTGGCAAGGATTGGGGAAACCCCAACAAAACCCAATGAAGTCATGATATGTTAAATATTAAGTTCCCTAATAAAAACAAAATACCAAAAAGTTAGTTGTTGGTACAATACCCGACTTAGTCACAACCGTGCACCAACGAATTGTGTTTTCCTCTTGACCATGAAGGAAAGAAGTCGTGGAAGACGGGACTATAACTGTGATTATAGCCACACCAACTGCAAACCGATGGACTATCTGCGGTAGGACATG